TGGAGAAACGACCTGATAAATCGTGGGTGAAAGTGGCTCAGGACCGTGTTTTAAGGTAATCTATTTAGACGGGGGTGGGACTTTTTTCAGCACTGGACGTAGTTATGAGCTATAATAATGATGATAAAATTTTAACGTCGTAAATTTATTTCAAGAAATTTTATGAAAATCCAATTTTCATGCATTTTCGAAACCTTTTCAGTTCAGCTCGACATCGTTTTTTTGGCATGTTCAAACGCTGGCGCATCTCCTAGTGATGAAAACTGTATACCTTCCAGCTGATTTTTTATTTTAGGGAATAAAAAGACACGCGGTGCAAAAGCAGGGCTGTAAGTAGTGACCCAAAGATGGGTAAGAGAGTAAGGTGTGGGTGGGCGTGTTGTCATGCTGAATCAGTAGAACCCCTGTGTTACTGCGTTAGTTTTCAAACAAACCGTCAACAGGCATTTCGTTTCTGGATTATATTGATAAATCTACGATTCAACACCTGTGATAATCTCGTAAAAACGCAGAGACGAGCCGGCTTTACATTTGGTAACCATGTCATAGCATAAACCTTCATCGCATTGAACATCGGTAAGCTTTTGTCTTGATTCTCCTCACACGAGGTGTTCGTGTAAAATATCGTAAACACTTCCCGATCCAATCTGCAATATGTACTGAATCATCTATTCTGAATCTATTCTTTTCAATTAAACTTTTCACTGCCTTTTTTCTCTTTATTACTCGAAGTTATTCGACCGTGCTGGAAAGTGTTATACATATCAGCGGTACACGATAGCATCCGAAGGACTTCTCACCATAACAGCTAATTGAAGTCTATTCGTCCGATTTTCAGGCGACATGTTATGAAATCGTAAATAATCATAGCATAAAAAGTTCCCGATGCAGATCTATTATTCAATGAAATACAATATCTTAATTTAGCTCGTAAAAAGAAGAAAATTTGTAATTGAAACAATCTAATTCGTGTTTTATACAAATATAGGTTTTAGTGGCAATTAATTCCAAGGCCGTTAATGACTGTAATGAATTACTAGGTCCCTGATAACCAATATAACAGAGTAGCTTCTCACTGCAATCATATAGGTTAGGTATTAACTTTTTTCTTGACTCAGTATAGTGGGTATCTGTCTACATAAATAATTTTTGAAAAATATCAATTGTTCAACTCAATCTATTTTTAAAACTCTTCATCTATCACGTGGGAAGCAATAGATTGTAAATTTTGTTTTGTTTAATTATAATTAATTTTTCCGGCTAAGAAATGGCGAAATTTTCGGTGGTTTGAGAGCCTTGTATTAATTTATTTTACTAAATAGGCCGCAGCCGCACTCCGAGCCACAGTAACAGAGTACTTTATTTACTCCAGGCACAAATGCCGTCATGAGTGGTCGTTTGTTACAGCGGCTCGTGCAGAAAAATATCGATCGCCGTAGAAATACAAAAAATATTACAAAAACCAAATTTGATGCATACTTCACCAAGGTAAGATATTATTATTAATTTTATAATCACAGATTTTTATTACAATATTTTGTTTCGCTAAAATCACGCAGGATTTATATATAAATATACTTATACGTCTTGGACTTTATAGACCTGAAGGTGTGTCGGTATCTGCTATTGGAACTCCTCGACGAGGAGAACTAGATGTGACGAGTTTGGGCTCGTTTTGTTAGTTTACCAAAATTACAAATTGTATTATATAGAAAGATACTTTCAATATTTTATCCTCTAGTCCGTAACCGGTAGAGAATAATAACAAACGAAATTAATAGTTTGTTAAGGACTATAATGAAATAAAACTCCAATAAAATAAAATAAATTTTTATATAATATAGTTAAGTACCCATCACTTATTATAATATTAATCTCATTCAATATCAATCGCAAAAGACTAACAACTAAAACATATTTATCTATAATTTTTAGTGCATAAATATTGACTTAATATTATTTTAATATTGATTAAAATCGAAATTTTCTAAAAATACTGGAAACATGGTTTCCAAGTGTGACAGTAAACGGTAAAAATTTAGAAACGTTAGGCAGGGGGGTGGTGACCTCCACATCCCAACACTACTCCCATGAAAATGTAAAACACCGTTCTTGAGAAAAATTCAAAAGAAAATCCCATAGACTTAACCTCAAAATGATAACATTTATGTCTCTCCGGCAGGAGGAGGGAGTAGTAGCGGGAGTGGAGAGAGCGGGGGTGTCCCCTAATACAATCAAGGATTTCTAAGTGGTAAAAAAAAACCACGAACACTGGCACGAAAGCTTTGCTCACCTAAAAGGATTCTGGGTGTAAAGTATATAATAATCTCTTTATTGTTTGTAAACATAATTTATTAAGAGAGTATAGACCACAGAAGAATAAAAATAAAATAATAATGTGACACTAGTCTTTGACATAGTCTAACATCTTTGTCGCACTTACACGAAATTATGCATGCTATTCACAGTAATATTGCATTAGTTTTTCCCATTTATAGGTTATAATAGTTTTTTTTTACATTTTCTCGAAAACAGTGCATTACCTTTTAATGCGAGTGGTACTGTTATAATTGGGGACCAAACCTCTATCAAATACAACACCTTACTATCCCCCAAACTCCTGACAAACGATTGCAAATCCAACCTGAGTAAACAACCATAACTTTGATATTTATAATACTTAAACAGACTTGTATATATAACTATGACATAATTTCTGTCTTTTTCAGTTTTATTTAACTTTGAATAAGCCATTGTCCCTGATCAACATAGTATGTAGTACTGGAATCAAGGAACATTAAAGATATTCTAGAACAAAATATATAATTTAAGGAACTTTACATAGTTTAAAAATATTAAAATCACCAATGAGGGCTGATAACCTGCTCACCGGATGCGGCCAGTTGGAACTAAGGTGAAGATATTTGTTACACTATGTTATATGACTATAGTTGATATGACATAGTCTATGGTCATCATAGTTTGAAAATTGTGCTTTAAGTAAAGGTTTTTCTGTTTCTAGAAATCTACACCACACAATGCCTTAGTGGTTTGCTCTTTTTTGCACACTTTTAACTCTATTATCTATTTTTAAATACTAGCAATGCTATTTATATTACGAATATTCCCTTTAACCACTCCTGGTAAGGTTAAATTGCTTGTGTTAGGAGTGGCTCACAATAGTAGTCGAATGGTGGATTCGAACCCACGACCTTATGAGTTGGCGGTCCGCACCCTGCCATTAGGCTACTGTCGCTTAAATTTTACGTTTGGGAATATCCGTAGTTTAGTTTATCCATTTCATATCTAATTAATTTAAAAGATTTAAGAAAGAAACATTAATTTACAATTTACTTAAAAAATTAACTTTCCCCCCCATGAAATCTGTCAAATATTTCAACCTCAAACCAAAGCGGCGCCGACCTGGTGGTAGAAAAAGTTATAGAAGCCCTCATCAACAGCACCGGATTGAATCAGAAAGAACTTGAGACCTTTAAAGTGGGGCTGCTCTCCGTCCAAGTTTCCCGGGATTTATCAGAGTGTAAGGGAAAGTTGGGTATGGCAGAAGAAACATGAAAGCAGAATAAATGCAGTTGAGATGAGAGCATTAAGAAGTATGATAGGAGTTAAACTGAGTGACAGGATAAGAAATAGTGAGATAAGGAAACGTTGTGGTCTGAAAGAAGATGTAGTGACAAAAATTGAGAAATGTATGCTGAGATGGTTTGGTCATGTCGAGAGAATGAATCAAGAACGATTGACGAATAAAGTGTATAAGGCGAGTGTGAATGAAAGTGTTGGAAGGGGTAGACCTAGGCGGACATTTCTAGACCAAATCAGGGACGTCTTGAAAAAAGGCTAGGTCAAGAGTACCCTAAACCGTAGAGCATGTATGAAGGGAATAATGAAAGTGGACGAAGCAAAACAAGTATGTAAAAGGATCGTAGCAAGTGGAAAGAAGTGGTCTCTGCCTACCCCTACGGGAAAGAGGCGTGATTATATGTATGTATATGACAGCCCGTTGCCGTTCGGGAATGGTTTCAAAGTATCCGGATAAAACCTGGACACATTTCGTGTCCGGGGACAACCGATTTATTTAATGATCAATCAAAGAAGGCTTTGTATTTGTCTATCTTTAATATTGAAATAACTGGCTCCTACTAAGATTAGGTGGTTATTTTCCTGCTATTAAGACAAACATTTAAAAAGTTTTGTTTGTCGGTCTGTCTGTCCGAGTTAATCATAGGATTGGCTGCACCGATTGTGATGAAAGCTAACGAACAGATTAAGGCAGAAACAGAGACCAATGCCAAGTAGGATCTAGGCCATATTATTTCCCAAAATGTTGTAGGCTTTCTTTTTGGAAATACGTAAAACTGACATGGGTATGCCAGAAGAAGCATAAAAGTAAGTTGAATGCAGTGGAGATGCGATCTCTTCGTAAAATGTGCGGCGTTACCATGGCCGACCGAAAGCGAAACGAAGAGATTCGCAATATGGCAGGTTTGAAAGATGACCTTATCACAAAAATTGATAAGGGCGTGCTTCGGTGGTTTGGGCACGTTGAGCGAATGAGTGAAGACCGAATGGTGAAGAAAATATATAGCGCGAAAGTTAATAATAAAAGGTGTCGAGGTAGACCGAGACTAACATTCGAAGACCATGTGAGCAAATTGCTCGAAGAGGGTAGGGTCAAAAGTACTCGGATACTTAGACGTGCATGCATGAAGAAGATAATGAATCTGAAAGAAGCGAAAGAGGTTTGTAAGGATCGTGACACTTGGCGATCTGTTCTCTCTGGCTACCCCGTCAGGGATTGTGCGTGAAGATAAGTAAGTAAGTTAAGTTACGTAAAACTGACAAAATAAATGGATCTTAAATTCAAATCATGAAACTTTGTCTACTATACATTTGTCTACAATAATGATAAGCATTAATACATTTAAATCATACTTACTATTCTTCCAAAATAAGACTAAAATGCGAGGTTTGAGTTTGGTTTATTCTTCCAGATTTAAATCTGTCATTTCTTCTAATATGTATGTTGGGTCGTAGGGATTTTCATAGTGCATGATAGAGGTGTACGCTAAAAAGATAAAAAAATTATAAATAGTTTCTAAGATAAAAACACATGCAAATGAACATGCTAGTAATTAAAAATGCAGTTTAATATCATAGACACATTTATAAAAGCAAAGAATTAAAAATTGTATACATTGAAGAAGCATGCTCAGAATTTAAAATGCAATCTACTCATACAAACATATATAAGCAATGAATTAAAAATTTGGAATGTACTTGCTCCTGTAAGCCCCGTGATATTGATTAGGTTAGATTGAAGAATACAGTATTAACACTTAAAGTCAAGCAAAATCAACCTAAGGAAAACCAAGATTATACTGAAAAATCCTCAAACTGCATCAACCAACGTCAACTCGCCAGATATACGAAAAAATAAAACAAAAGATTTCCTAACTCTATTTAAAACAAGCAAGGTGAAGAACAAACTTTCGTATCCTTAGGAGATACTGCGTAAAAAGTTCATTGTAGAGGTTGTTTATTAAATTAAACACAGGCTTTGAAATGCCCAATAATATATTTCATAATTAATATACATCTTATGTCAACTTAATACTGGTTTAAAAAGGAACTAATGTAAAAAAAAAAACTATTTTCGTGAAAAGACACTAATCAGAAAATTATTAAGTGGCTCATAGCCATTTCTAAAAGCTGATGAAAATTATTGTTATACAGAAAAATATTAATACTTAAGCGATCAAAGAACAAATACATACAAATCATAAGAAAATTTATATAAAGTGAACGAAAACAAACCTTTAAAAGGTGGAATAAGAAACAATCATAATAATATGATCACAGTCAAAAGAGAAATACTTTTAAATTTAACAAAGAAAAATACGACCTGCATATTTTGGTTAATATTACTTAAAACAGTAAATAAATTAAATATAAATAATATACTATAAGATCATTTTTTTAAGTCACAAGCAAAATGTTGATTATAAACTTCAGTGTCGTTTACGTGTTAAATTCTGTAAATATAAATTATATAACAAATTACAGAACAATGTTTGTCTTCCAGAAGAAATATATTCCAAATTTTTATGACAATTTCTCAAATTACTTTTCTTTCTTACTTACAATTTCTAAACCAAACTAAACAATGGCACGCGTACGTATTACGTAAAGCAAAAGCGGTTTTCTTTCGTCACAAATTGTAAAAAGTTTCATGAGGCAATATAAACATTTTTCACAAACTATTTTAATAATATAACATTTGAAGTGCGTTTGGTATTCTACGACATGTATATATAATATGTATATCTCTTTTATATAATATAATTTTTAATTCAAGCAACATACAGTGCAGCATTATACCAGATATAGACAATTTCACCAGAATTATTAATAAAATACGTTAACGCATGGGATATAGGTCTCATATATATCATATCTCATAGATAGGTTATAAAAATTAGGTCAAAGAAAACGAAAAATTGCATGAAATCAAGGAAAATGTTGAAGGCTTTTTTTAGTAGTAGTATTAGTTTTTTTTTTACTGGTATAAGTCAGTGTTTGACTAATATCCTACCTGATGGTAATTTATAAAATTTATTTCCTTAAATAATACCGACTGCCTTAAATCCGCGATGAAAAAATGTATCAAGCAATTTTAATATTTTTGTCTATTCAAAAGTAAACTACTTTATTCTAAAAAACGAAAAAATCCTGTCTAATATCAACGCGGCACTATCTCATAAGACATGATTACAACCTTATAAAGAAAATAAAACAGTAGATTATTTTCTTTATAAGGTTTTAAAACTGGTATAATGATAACAACAAATGTAAAACACTGATAAAACAAAAAGACAACTGCACTAAATTATAATTCGGTATTTTGTACAATGGTATACAATGACATTTCATCCATTAAAATTTATCATAACGTTAGTGATTATAATTATTGCGGTACAAACAATCCAAATAATTTTATTTGGATAGACTATAAAGATATATAATTATGTACATTGCCGGTGATATTTGTACACACTTATTTATAAACATATCAATTATTTAGTTTAAAGCTATTATTAAGTATATGGGGAATAAATTCTAATCCAAATGACAATGAGGTTCATTAAAGGATAGAAGTTTTAAATATATTAATTAGAACTGGTGTTGATGTCACAGCCCGATATTGGTAAAGTTTGGTTAGGTGTACGAGTGGTATTTCTAATATCGCTAATTATATTATGTCCTATAAGCCGGGAATCACTGAAATATTAGGAATGGCTCCTATAACTTGTTTATTGAAAAATGTGTAACAATAATATTGTTAGCACGTTATTGGTTCTAAATACGTATTGGCAGTCCCACGTTTTGCTTAGAAATATAAATCATCACAGGTGGGTTAGTAAAAATAAATATAGGTAATATTAAGTAATAATTAGGTATATAAAAAAAATACGTCAAAAATATTGAAGTTATGTAAAGTTAAGAAAAAACACAATAAAAACACAGCCAATAATTTTGATTAAAGAACCGTTTGTTCTTGCCTTAAATACAAAACAGGGAATAAAACAAAGTGATTACCAAAACATTCTAACTAACAGAAGTCGTTATAATTGTAGTAAACGTACAGGGCCCAGTTAAGAGACCTTGATGAGGGTGATATTACGACATAGTTTCATATCATCCTCACAGCTTTGTGTTAGCTTGTGGGTTCTTAAGCGACGCGATGAGCTGAATTCACAGCCTAAATAGAAAGGCTGCGGTCATGTTACTTAAAGAGATCGGCGTTGACGCTGATGTCGATCAGCATGGGGTTTAGTCAGTAGGAGTCAGACAAAACCTGCCTGCCTCTACTAGAGTAGCTGGGTATTATCATAAGGATTTCCCGAACGTATAAAAGAGGACGCAAATCTCGATTACAACAAAAAAAAAAAGGCGGTAAGTACTAATTTGGGTGGGTAGGTCGCATACTTACTATATAGTATCAAAAATATAAAATAACAGGAAATAATTATTTTCGAGCCTGAAAAAAGATCATAGATGCCTATGATCTTTTTCGTGAGTCCTACAATAATAAATAGGTACGACTTGAGAGACATTTGGGCCGATATTCTACGAGTGTTTGTCTCTAATAAAAGAACTAATTTGGTAGATAGGTTAGCTAACACTGTAATTTATTAATCTTCGACGAAGTCGTAAGTCTAGATGGATACAGTAAGCCGCAACTAGATTATAATTTTCCAAAATAAACTACTTCTAAAAACGTAAAATACTTATACTCGTATGTTTCGGTAATTCTGAGAAATGCGAGTCAAACACCAAAAAGCACGCGTCCTCCACTAGAAGCACACGCCTAGTACGCTTACTATATCATGCATCATATATAAAGCACGGTTCTTGTTGTTTTATTATCGAACTTAATTATTAATTTCAACTACAATTTTTGCATAACATTATTAAGTATAAAACATCGTCAAATCGATAAAAAGATATCATCAATGAAAGTTATTATTTCTTATTATCATAATCATGTATGTTATTTTAATATTATGCATTTGTTGCTACGTACTAAAAAACTTAAAGAACACTACGAAATAATACTAACCATTACGTCATTATGTTTTATTTTAATTTTAATAATAAAATTCGGATTTCATTACCTAAGTGTCACTGGCAGTGTATCACTTGATTAAGCTTGTTGTAATAAAAGGAATGTCTCTATCCTAACTTATATGAAAATTTAATAGATCAGCGAAAAATTTTCTTCGTATTTTGTTTGGATAAAATTGAAGAAAAATCTGTTTTGATGTACTGTTTGTATCTAGCTGGTTTTAATATCAATACATATAGGACATTAAGAAAAATAGAAATAAAAAGTAAGAAACACTTTCCCCGCGATTTTTCAATTGTTTTTCAGTCCGCCAAAATGAGTGAATGTAAAGAAGAAATTTGATACATTCTGAAGTTATATTACAAAAAAAGAAAAAATACGACTCAAGCCGCAAAAAATTGTGACATTTTTATTTCAAAGATGCAGCTCGCTCGGGTCAAACTCATACGGATAAAGTCGATGCCATTTTTAAAAAAGTGGAGTAAGATCGGCACATAAGTAGTTACTACGTTAGCAAGGAATCGAGCATTGACCACAAAACAGTTTTGACCTATTTGAAAAAGTCTGGCTATACAAAGAAGCTCGATATTTGGGTACCACACGAGCTCACTGAAAGAAACCTAATGATATGGGCATTGCTGAAAACCAACGCTACCGCAATCCTGCGATAGCATTACGTTGAGTCAGTGCCCTCTTCAGCATCACATCACTCATGCAATCGGATCATTTTATGACTGTTTTTTGTTATTTACTTTTATATTTGATGTTTTTATGTATTATTTTATTTTCTGTATCAAAACTGTATGAGTGTATGTCGCTGAATAAACGCATGTCTATGAAACATGTACTCATTTGGGATTTTCTATTGAAAAGTAATGAAACCGAACCGTTTTTAAAAGGAATAATCACGTGATAAAAAGTGAATCACCTACGTCAAGAGCGAACAAAAGCGATCACGGTGAAAGGGTTAGTCAAGCTCTGCAGACTGTAGTGAGACCCGGATTAATATCGATTAACAGAAAAGGAGTGGTCTCTCATCATGATAACGCCTGACCACACACATCTTTGCCCACTCAGAAAAAAATTAAGAGAGCTTGTTTGGGAAGTGTTAATGCACGCACCATATAGTCCTGACCTTGCACACTCAGATTTTCGCCTGTTTAGGTAGGTCTTTTCAGAATTCTTTGGGTAGTGTTAGGTTAACATCAAGAGAGGACTGTCAAAACTACTTGTCGCATTTTTTGATCAAAAATCCCAAGATTACCACAATCTACAAGATGGCAACAAGTTATCAAACAAAATGGCATATATATTATAAAATGTAATAAAAATTTTAAAAATGTCTTGAATTTGTATATAAAATACGAAGAAACATTTTCCCCGACCTTATATTAACTTAAAACAAAGTATGTAGAACAACCTTAATATAATTGGCTATAATTATTTTTATTTAACTTAGTGATCTCCTCAGTTTCTTATGCATTTACTATAAAATATAAATAATATTTTTGTTTAGTTCATTATAGAAATATTAATAATAATATAGTATTATTTATTACTAAGTGGTCAATTGATGATAGCTTTATATGATGTATTAAATTCAAAATACAAAAGTTCTTTCTTATATAACAATTATTCCTCAAATACTGTCTCTTTACCTTTCGTCAGCTCTATGTGACGAACTTTATCCTTAATGAGGTATTGCACCAAGATATGAAGAAGGCAGCAAATCAGCGAACCAATGCCGAACCAGCGGAATGTGTTAGGACCACCATACGTTTCATATAAGAGGCCCCCAATGAAGCTTCCTAGTGATGTGCCAACGCCTTCGAAAACTGCACCCACAAGACCCTAATAACAAATATTACAGATGTTCAAAGTATATCAACATTCTGAGGGTCTTTGCCCATGACAAGATCATGCCACACTTAATTAATTATAGATTTTCACTGCGATTATTGGTTTTATTGCAATTCCAATGCGCTGCTCCTGTGTCTTTGATATATTTTTAATTCTTATACACAGATTTCCTCACAACGTTTTCCTTTACCCGTGTGGTAAATTAGCACTTAATATTGAAATTAATAATTACATTGGTGCCGGCGAACTTGGGTTGCCCGGGTACTATAAAATTATCGGCGAGCGGCTAGCTCCTGAGTTACCTCGGATTTTTTTAGGTATCTCCTGAGTTACCTCGATATTTGGCCCATTCCATTTCGTCCCGTAGGTGTATTTGGAGGCCATTATAGGAACATTTGGTAATGGCAGTTTATTTGTACAATATCCCAGATATTTTATCTAATATATAAAAATTAATGTTTGTTTGTTCGTATTTAATGCGCTGTCATACCGTTCATCAGATTGCGCTAATATTTATTATCATTCCTAATTAAATAATATGAGTTATATAGTTACTTATATATAATACAAATTTAGAACGATATTTCGCCAATATTTCTTCTGCGGCAGCAACGCGCCTCGTACCAGCCAGTATATAATAAAAAAATTACAAAAACTATGGACAGAGGGCACTGTAGAACCCAACCGCGACAAGTGTAGTAACTTGCACAAACATTGCGAGACTTGATTGTGACTGAGAGCATAAATAGGCGCGGCGCGATTTACCCGCGCGCCTAGTACTACGTACTAAAAGAGACACCGAGACTTGGTTGTTTGGAACACGCTTTAGGGCCTGCGGGCTCAAAGTTACTTAGTCTGTGCCACATAAAGGTACTCTGTGTCTCCAACCAAGCGCCCCGCACTGCCGCAGTGGTTTAATTCGCGGTGTCTGTTCTAGTACGTATATATAACTATTGTCTATAGTAAGCGCAGACAATCGCAGAGTGCTGACAGTCATGACCGACACATCGTTCAGGTTGCATGCATGTCATACGACCTCTACAACGTTTTTCTTGTATAAAACTGACGTAACAATCGAACTAAAGTCCACCTAAAGTGGCCACTGTAACCCTTGGACATGTGCTACCAAATTCAAAGAAGGCTACGGATGCCTTGGTCACCTCTGAGGACTAAAACGGAATGCCGAACAGATTCTAATTATACTGGTACAATATATTCTTCAGACCGGAAAACAGCAGTGCAAGCTTCCTATAAACAGCAGCATAATCACCTACTTCATACCAAATATACAATATCCAGACCTGCAATGGGAGCACACCATAGATAGGACCACAAATCCCACCCTACACTGGGAGAAGTCCATAGTATCTAGGCTAATAAAGAAAAGAAAGATAATAAAAGTATCAGCAGCCATAATGTTTGTATTTTATTAATAGGTTTTATATAAAAAACACATTTCATTTTCGATACCTATGGAACACATTTAAACAAACCAATCACAAAGTAATATTATCAAAACAAAAGAGAATAACGTGATAATAAATTCGTACGTGCTATAGCCATGCTGCAGCTATATTAGTAGTATAGTTGTAGCACGAATGGGTCGGCTCGACCGGGGAAGGACCGCGCTCTCACAGAATACCAGCGTAAAATAGCAGCTTAATGCTGCTGTGTTCCGTAAGGTGAGTGTAGAGAACCGTAGACCCTTTTACTGGAAATGAGGCATTCCATCTTAGTCCTCACGGGTAACAACGCATCTGCATTTTGTTTAATGTAGATGTCTATGGGCCACAGCAACCACTTACCATCAGGTGGACTAGGTGCTCGTTTGTCACCCTTATCCTATAAAAAAAAGAATAAGGGAAAGTGAGGAATGAAAAAGAAAGTTGTTACATACCTGTACAGTGGTCTCAGTGCCAGGAGGTGATACAGCATTGGCGTAGGACGCCATGGTAGGATAGAACATTCCCAAAGTGAGTCCTTGCAGCATCTCTATCGGAAGCACCCACCATGCATTTGTAAGGTACGAGTACAAAATATAACGCACACCGAAAGCAAGCAGCACCAAGCTCATCGTGTTGATATGGCCTAGTTTGTTAAGTATGTAACCTGTAACAATTAATTTTTTACTATAATTATTAAGAGCCTATTTCAAAAAGAATGTTTTTCAAAAGGAGGCCGATTTCAAATGGAAGACTGTTTTGTATATTAAGCGATATATGCGTCAACTGTGAACCGATGTAAAGCATTCTTTTTTTAATCAAATAGTACTAGGTAATACTAACTTAATATATAATAAGGCGAAGATGGGTGGACAAAAAATAAGCAAAATTCTGGAATGTAAGCCAGTTAGCTTAGATCTATATTATTACGATGACTGAAAAGAAATCTTACTACTGTTACTTTTTTTCCTCCATACCTTCCTTAATGTCATCCGTGATTTTAAGTAGTAGTACTATGACCAGGTCGAAACCTAGACTGATATAATACACTCAGTAGTTTATATTTCGAAATAAAAGTAGAAATTTGATTGTGAAAACAGGATTATCGAATTTTGGAAAGAAAAAATTATTGGGCGAAAATGATTGGAAAGAAGGTTCTTGAGGTTCTTTTGGGTGAAGCTTTATAAAAGCCCTTTTCTAGAGATTAGGGTACTAGGGTATCAAGGAAAAAAATATAATGAGAGATATTGCTAAAAAGTGCTAATCTCATCATAACATCATCCTGAGAAACAGAAGAAAAATTAAAAGTAGAGACGTGATACGGTAGGAGTTTCAGCTCTCTCCCCATCACCGTTCAAGTCCACGTATATTTTTGGCCTGCCAAATTACGAGTCGACTATTACGTATAGAAAGCCATGATATCAGTCTTCCACTTCTACCATGTCTACGGTAGGACGCTTGGATTCCCTGCTATGTGGATATTTTTAGTTTTAGCTTATACTCGTATTTTAACTTACCTGAGGCGAACATAAAAGGAATTTCCCCGCAGACAGTTTGAATTGCACTAACTAGTCCTTGTAATGTCTTAATATAATCGGAATTATCACAACCGTAAATATCCTCTAGAAGCCAGAAGAGGAATTGCCAGAGGAGGCCTGTGCAAAGCCCCACTGCAATCGTCCATAACATGAAGACCAACGTCGGCAAAGAGGAAAGTAGAGTACCAACATCAACCAAGATGTTAACAGACATTTTTGTTGATTCAGTCTGAAATTTTGTTTGAGTTTAAGTATATTGGCCACATTATAAATAACTTAAAGAGATTTTAAATAATTAATGTCATTTTTACTGATTTTAATCTATTTGTCTTTATATCAAACTAAATTTAACTAAAATCGCATTAAGAGGAACTTTTCCATTATTTTTTTGTTTCCCTACTAAGAAAGTATGATCAGGTGAAAAAAACAATTATTTATTTATAATAATTAAAAATAATATGGCGACTGTTTGTGAGCGTTGATCTTCCCATAAACACCATAAAAAAAAAGGTGTAAAAGATGAGCGCGTGATTTTTTTTGATTGGTGCAAGTTCCATATGAGTTCATGTACCAAAATTTATCTGAAACTTAAAACTCTTGCCAACATCTATTGTATTAACCAATAACATTCAGAGCTCTGTATCTCTGTAATTTTGTAAAGCAGATACTGATGGTTGTGGCAAAAAAAAAAACTTTAAGCATTTTTTATTAATACAAAACGTTTTAAAACAATATCATTTTTTATAATATGGGCATTTCTAATCTTTCTGTTTTATATATTTTTTTATTATTATTTTGACAAAAGTAAAAGGCGTATAGGCTAATCATATATAACTTACCTTTATTAAACTAGAAACTATAACATCTCCACACAAAAACACAAACATAAGTACAAAAGCAATTGTATAGTCTTTGTAGGCACCATCACTGAACAAGTCTATCAAAGTACCAGTCAGAAAGGAGAAAATGCCAAAACCAACTGAACCCCACAGTCGCTGTTTTCCATAAAGAGAAACTTTAGTCCCTGAAAGATTTGAAAATCATCAATCAAATTACTGTTATTTAAATTTAAAATAATCTGCAGTAAATACGAGTACAATACAATTAAATATATAATACAAATAAAATACAAAAACAATAATTTCATGAATAAGTTTAATACACTATGATCATTGTAGCAAAATCCACAGGTGAACCTGCGGCCATCAACTTCTATATACAGGGTGTCCTAGTAATGGTGGATAATCTGGTACGTACGTGTTTGGGCGGGGGGGAGGTGGCCTCGGTTCCCTAAAAAAAATTCTATCACAAACGGTTCGCGGTCTACGCCATGTTTTATAAAATTCCGAAAATTCCTACTTCTGCTCACATTCGAGGTCATCACGTCCGCAGTTTAATGCCTAATAATGATGTTTCTAAATTGCCCTTAAAAGTTTTCAACTACTATGGGTAGTATTTTACAAGACGGCACTAAACATAAGTTTAATTTTTTTACTTTATTTAACTGCTAAGTTTGAGTACCTGTGGTGAAAAAAAAAACGTATAGGATCTGTGTGGCCAACCATTTAAAAAGTTTGCCTATATTATAAAGATTCTAAAAAATTAGCATACCACTTACTGTCATTGTACTTAATGTCATTACTTACTGAGCTATAGCCGTTAATGTGTAAAAGTAGTCATTTCATTACAAAATTATTGGCAGATAGTTTTTTTTTAAACATTGCATGTCTTTATTAGGTAAGTACATTTGTCGCCCTTGAAAATTTTACTTTACTACCTGCTCGCCTTGTTTGGACGAATTCTAAGCTGTGTGAGCGAGACAAACGGTGCTTAGAATTAATGTGAGTAAAAAGGATCGACAGATTCTCCATTGTATGAATTTGTGTTTGGAATTCGTGTTTGGTTATTGTTAAATATGGTTAGTGCGTATCTCGACCTTCTCGACATCGCATGTACAGTAGAATTAAGTACCGTCTCCTTTTTGGAAATCAGCAGAAAAGATTCGTCTATTTCGATGCGAGATCTCTGCCGATAATTTTGTAATTTTGTAATGAAATGCCTACTTTTATACATTAACGGCTATAGCTCAGTAAGTAATAACATTAAATACAAGGTATGCTAATGTTTTAGAATCCTTATGATATAGGCAAACTTTTTAAGTGGTTGGCCACACAGATCCTATACGTTTTTTTCACCACAGGTGCTCAAACTGAGCAGTTAAATAAAGTAAAAAATTTAAACTTATGTTTAGTGCCGTCTTGTAAAATACTACCCATAGTAGTTGGAAACTTTTAAGGGTAATTTAGAAACATCATTATTAGGGAACACATTAAAAGAAAAAATCCGATCTAGGCATTAAACTTGGGACGTGATGACCACAAATGTGAGCAGAAGTACGAATTTTCGGAATTTTATAAAACATGGCGTAGACCGCGAACCGTTCCGAATAGAATTTTTTTTTAGGGAACCGAGACCACCTCCCCCCGCCCGAACGCGTACGTACCAGATTATCCATCATTACTGGGACAACCTGTATATTTCTTCTTATATTTTATCTTCTATTCTATTATAACTATCTAGTGGAGGTTAATTCTATATTAAGTAAATTATTTTATACTAGCTGTACCCCGCGATTTCGTCCGCGTGGAATTTATTATGATTAGATTTCATGGTTTTAATATCTTGTGTGGAACCCTAATTATTTTTCTAAAATAAAAGTCACTCCTTATAACATCAGTTATCTGCCAGTGAAAGTCGTCAAAATAGGTCCAGCCATTTCGGAGATTAGCCGGAACAAACAGAGAGACAGATAGACATAAATACATAAATTTTAAAAAAATGCTATAATAACTGTAGATACTTTCATCATGCATTTAGTAAAAAGCAGTTATTTTCACATTACAAATAGACACTTCAATTTTATCTATTTGTGTAGATTTTAAATTATTTTTGAAATATGTTTATTTCTATGGGTCACAGCATCCACTTACCATGAGGTGGACAGTGTGCTAATTTGTCATCCTTATTCTATAAAATAAATAAAAATATTATATTTATAAGCTGGTCGTTTGTAACGCCGGAAATAAAATTACAGTGGAACCAAGAAAATTAATATAATCTGCGCATGATATAAATGGGATAAAACCTTTAGTTGAAAATGGAACTTCTGGAGTAAAGTAGAGTTAGCAGAAAAGTTCTAATTTAACTTTATTAATTTTTGATTACTTAGAAAATAATGTCATTATTTTTACCAATCCAGGAAGCCAAATTCGTTTAATATACAGAATATCTACTAATTTTGAGGAAACAGAGGTCGTCTGTTTCCTCATTTGTTTAACTTCGTTAACTATGGCATCAGGCCGTCATGCACCTAAGGCTCCTTCATCATTATAGCCCTTCACAAGTGCACTGCTGAAAATAGGCCTCCCCTAAGCAATGCCACAAAGCACGGTCCTGAGCCACCTTCATCCATCGACTTCCTGCATGTCTTACCAGGTCGTCACTCCATCTCGTGGGGGGACGCCCTACACTTCGTCCGGCGGTACGAGGCCGCCATTCGAGAACCTTTTTCCCCATCGGTTGTCGGTTCTTCGAGCTATATAGCCGGCCACTTCAGCTTACTAATCCGTCGGGCTATGTCGGTCACTCTGGTTCTACTGCGGATATACTAATTTCTAAGTTTATCACGCAGAGAAACGCCGAGCATAGCCATCACCATAGCTCGCTGAGCGACCTTGACCTTCCTTATACAGCCAGCAGTGAAGGACCACGTCTCAGTTCCATAGGTCATCATTGGCAACACGCACTGATTGTACAGTCTCGTTTTCAAGTTTTGAGGGATACCTGACGAGAAGATGTGCCGTAATTTCCCGAACGCTGCCCAGCCGAGTTGAAAGCGTCGATTGACCTCTCGATCGAAGTTGGACTTACCTAGTCGGCCTATTTGTCCCAGGTAAATATACTCGTCAACAACTTCGAGCTTAGTGCTCCCAATATCTACCGGCATAGGTGTGACATGGACGTTATACATGATATTTGTCTTGGCCATGTTTATCTTAAGATCTTTCCGTTGGGAGGCACTATTGAGGTCATTGAGCATAGTGCTTAGGTCCTCCAGCGATTCTGTCATAAGGACTATATCGTCGGCAAATCGAAGGTGAGTGATGAACTCGCCGTTGATGTTAATACCGTACCCTTTCCAGTCCAGAAGCTTGAAAAAGTCTTCCAATGCAGCAGAGAAGAGTTTCGGGAATATAACGTCACCCTGTCTTACACCTCTCTGCAGTTGGATAGGTTTCGTACTCTCGTTCTGTACTCGGATAGCCATCGTAGCCCTACTGTACAAACACTTCAGCACTTCGATATACCGACAGCCAACTTGACACTGCTGGAAGGAATGCAGCAGCGCCCAAATTTTTACGTAATCAAAGGCTTTCTCGTAGTCCATATACGCCAGACATAGTGGTAAATTGCACTCCTCGGACTTCTGTACAGTTTGCCGAAGGGTAGGTATGTATGTAGTCTATGGCGCTAAAGCCTTTTCGGAAACGGGCTTGTTCGGGAGGCTGAAAGTCGTCGTGTCTGCATGCGAGACGATTCGTAATGACTCTCGAAAACAGCAAGTAGACGCGGCTCAGAAGGAAAATCGGTCTGTAGTTCTTCAAGAGAGCGTTATCGCCTTTCTTGACGAACAAGACCACCGCACTTCTGCTCCACTCCTCCGGTGTAGTGTCACCATGGAGGACAGAAAGAAGAAAAAGAGCCTCTGAAGGACTTTAAGTACCGGTTTTCCACCCGCTTTCAGAAGCTCAGCTGTAATTCCATTCTCGCCTGGGGCCTTGTTTTTAAGATGCTTGAGATCCATTATAATCTTGCTCAGACTGACGTCCGGAATATCATCGGAATAGTGTCGGATAAGACTTTCTCTTGGATCCCGGAAACGACGCTGCCACACTCGGGTCTTCAGCGTCGACAGTTGGCTCTTCCTGGCAAACAGAACTCTGGCAAAGACTTTGGAGCCCTGGTTCCGCTCGATCGCTTCTTTTGTTCTTCTTTTCGCATTTGGAGTTCTGTCTGTTCAGTTGCCTGTATGCTGTCAAATCTACTGAAGACTGCAGCTTCATTTCCCGTCTAACAGATATGAGAGTTTTTGCGTTCTTCTGCGGCGGGTCTTGCCAAACTTAGCTCCGACCGCATGGACAGTTTCCACGAGTTTGTCATTCATATCGCTCACTTCATTGCAGTCTTCTAGACACTGAAAACGGTCTCGTAACTCGAGCTGAAAGGTTTCGGGACTTTGGATTAGAGTACGAGGGGGACGCCTTCATTCGACGTGACCTCTCCAACATAACGTTTAGGTTCAGTGTGCCTCTCACCATTCGGTGATCGCTGCCGGTTTTCACCTGCGCGATCACTGAGACATCACTGAACAGTTGTCGTCTGGTCGTCATCAATCAATCTCATTTTTTGTCGAACCGTCGGGGCTCGACCAGGTCCACTTTCTGTGGGGCCGCTTCTGGAGAAAAGAGTATATCACAAAGAGTGCCTCTTTCTCCATGAAAGCGGCCAGCCGCTGACCCCTTGGGTTCTGTTGCCCTATTCCAAATTGCCCTACATTTAGCTCACCGTTCTCTCTTGTGCCGAGCTTTGCGTTGAAATCTTACATTAACACGGTATAGTGGGTTTTGGAGGAATGCATGGCTCTAGATATATTCTCATACATTTCCTCCCCCTCCTCATCGGGGCGTGCCGAGGTTGGTGCGTAAACCTGTATGACCTTCAGCGAATACCGTTTGGTGATACTGAGTATAAGGTACGCAATTCTCGTTGACACACTCTCAATCTTTACAACGTTGTTAACGAGAGACTTGTGGACGATAAATTCGACACCTCCTTGGGACAGATGGTCGCCCTCCCGGTGATAGAGCAAGATGCCGGATTTGAGGATTACCGTGTCCTCCCACTCTCTTCGGACCTCCGATAATCCTATAATATTCCAGCGCATTTGTCCATCTCTTCTTCCAACTCCAGGATCTTCTCGTCAGTCCTCAGGGTGCGTGCGTTGTATGTTGCCAGGTCGAGTTGTCGTAGTTGGCAACCGAACCTCCACCGGAAATTCTTAGCACCCCCTGCCCCGCCGTTACCATGGTAAGGCGCCTTGTGACATATTAATACTCAAGTTTACGGAAGCTCCGACAGGCGAGCGGCAAACACGTGCTTCAGTTCCGAAAGGTCTCATCCCATTTTGAATGTGCGCGAATTATGCCTTATAGATTCATATTTCAAACCGTTTACTTGAAAAAACTATCGGGTCTCAAGCAACATTCTCTTTTATATTTCAAAATATTACAAAATTATTTCGATATAGCTGATTATTCATAGTCTTTCTGTCACTTTATCAAGCATCAATAGCATTGTTCATTTTCATACACAATAAGAAAAAAATTACCTAGCAAGTTAAAACAGATTGCGTCAGCAAAAGTTACGACGACAGCTTGACCAATCCAACTTATTATCATCATTAGGAAAAAGAGCCAGAACTGCCTCGTGTATTGTGTTGTATTGTTGTGACTATCTGTAGCCGATTGGAACCATTCGTTAACCTGCACAAAATTAAATTACGATAAAAATGTACATGATAAAAGATTTTAATTCAAAACATTTGTATGTGCTCCCTATGAGAAAAAGGTCCATGATAGAGATATGTCAGCTGTTATATTTTACTTTTGTGCTTGGATGTTTGTCCTTGTGCAATTTATGTTTGCAAAACATCTCCACAATGTAGAAGAGGAAATCTTAATATTGTAAGCCAGTTTTTGGTCTACCACCCACTTACTAATGACACCACAATTGAACATAGGCCTATTCCATAGATTCCCTTTAGATATTTGCTACAGTTGGTACGCTTGCCATAGTTGACAATCGCAGTTATATTATTATAATTAATTTGATATCAAGAAGATGCTGTTTTCAGTCCGCATCACTGCTCCAATGCATGTTGGTAGCCGTCACATAATCTTGAATCATTTTATTCCTCAGAAATACAAGTTTCCTATCAATGTTTTCCCTTCGGTCCAGCCGATAGTTCTTTTTTATTTGCAGCACTATATTATCATGAACTTGTTTTCTTCAGTGAGCATCTTTAAATCATCTTATTTGAGACGCATTTGTAATGGATTTCTTGATAGCTTCGCCGGAAGCTTCATTGCACAACATTTTTGCTAATAGAAGTTTCCTTATAACGTCTAATATTTTACAGAAAAGTTATTTTAGAACTTGGTAGGCTATACTTACAACGAAGTTATCACATTCTATTTTGCATGAGGGGTAAAATACGTCACTTCCAGTTTCAAATGGAGCTTTATTAAAGCAATTTGGATAATGAACGGAACCTGTAAAACATAATTTCTTAATCGTATTAAAAATGTATATAATCGTTGGTGCGTTTATTAGTGATTGTTTAATGACTTGACAATAAAAAATGGTCACACAATTTTTGAAGTGGGCAGATTAGAAGGTGAGAGTATGATCTTAGTCACTTGCAAAGTACCTAAAAATCAGGAACAATAGCGTGACTAGACCAAAGTAGACGTGGAATAATAATTCCCTACGAATTAGTTAATTAATAAAGGTACTTTTTATAGGGTTTAATGCAGCTTAAGTCTTACCATCAGGTAACACTATGCGGTTAAGTTGTATGTATGCACACTTGTCCTCGGTGATAACAGTGGAGAGTAATAAAGTGCCCACAAACGAAAGGTTTTTAGGAAATTCTGTGCCAGCTGTTGTTTTTGGTAGGCAAGTAGGAGCCGCATCTGCTTCCCACGCCTCGCATATCTCCATGAGACGCCACGGGGCTGACTTATCTAATTCGCAAGATGCCTGTAAGAGGTATTACAATTTTATTCCCGAAATATAACCTACGTATAAATAAAACCAAGATTAAAAAACCGAAGTAATATTAAAATAGAAAAAATAAATTTGTTTGCAGTTTTCATCATTTTATCACAATCTATTATTGTATATTAATAGTGTTTTACATTGTGTAATAAATACTGTATGAAATTAGTACTATATTATGTATATTATATACTTTGTATAATATAATAAAAAAGCTACATAAATAAAAAAAGACAATATAATACCTGACAGTCATCATAGTGTGATTCACTAATATTTGTTTGGAATGCGGTAGTATCATTTGAACATAGGCGGTAATTTAACATCTTATTAGAACATGTCATGATTGGTTTAGACACGCCAATAGCCACTGAAAGTTTCTGATTTGTACAGTTCATAGAACAGGGCAGATCTAAATCGACGTACCCGTCGCCGATGCGACAGTGAGGAGTGAATAGGTACCCTGAAATTCATACATACAAATTACAAGCAAATTGAAACACATTCGTTTGAAGAAAGAAACAACTTATGAACAAAAAGACGAAAAAAGCACACAACAACTAACTTTTAATTTTTCAATAAACTTTACACTATAATTAGGGATGAATATGAACTAATATCAAGCACTATGTGTACTATATTTTTGTGGCGCATAAGCTAATGTCACATCAATATTTCACTTGATGTTTAATTTATTTATTTATTTTATTCACATATGCTCACTTACAAGCTCTAATGGATAAACAATTAAAAGAAAAAAACATATTAACAAATAACAATTTAACTCAATCATCATCATCATCATCATTACAGCCCTTCCTAAGTCTACTGCTGAACATAGGGCTGCCCCAAGGAACCCCACAAAGCGTCCATTTTAAGTTCTACCCGTTGTGAAACATTATTGAGGCACCAGCGATTCTACCATTAGGACTAATACCATTAGGACATCGGGAAATGGAAGGTGAGTGATGTACTCGCCTTTGATGTTAATACCGTATCATTTCCAGTCCAGTAGCTTGAAAACGTCTTCCAATGCAGCGATGAAGAGTTTCGGGGATTTAACGTCACCCGTCGTTTAGCTATCCGTCGGGATCGCTCAGCTGGTGATCTTCTTGTTAACCTAACACACAGATGATCGCAGGCGATCGAGTCCAAGAGGGAGGCTTTGGCGGTTAGTTTGGATATAGTGAAGGCCTTCAATCAGATTTGGCACAAGGCGCTTCTTTCGAAGATTCCTTCCTATGGGCTTCCCGAGAAATTGTTCAATTGGATCAGTTTTCTGACTGATCGAAGCATAAAGGACGTAGTAGAAGGTGCATACTCCGATTAATATACCGGCCGTGCAAATATTTCTCGGGGAAACGTCGCCGAGTATCGGAACAAACTTGTGTCTGAAGTCGATACTATTTAACGAAGTCTCGGATTGGAGGGCGACTAAGTCTATTTCAATCCCCAGAAAACACAAGTTTGCGCGTTCACCCCTAAAATTAACCCCTTTGTCGTATCTTTCAGTTTCAAGTAAGATGGCGGCTGCAATAGATATCAATTTTTTCATCTTGGGTGTCATTTTCATGGTGTTCGAGGGTGTGGAAGCCGATAGTGTTGTCGAAATGTAAATCTAAGATGGCGGCTGCAATAGGTATCAATTTTTTCATCATGGGTGTCATTTTCATGGGTTTCGAGGGTGTTGAAGCCGATAGTGCTGTCGAAATGTGAATCCAATATGGCGGCTGCAATAGATATCAATTTTTTCATCTTGGGTGTCATTTTCATGGTTTTCGAGGGTGTGGAAGCCGATAGTGCTGTCGAAATGTAAGTCCAAGATGGCGGCTGCAATAGGTATCAATTTTTTCATCATGGGTGTAATTTTCATGGTTTTCGAGAGAGTTGAAGTCAATAGGGTTGTCGAAATGTAAATCCAAGATCGCGGCTGCAATGGGTATCAATTGTTTCATCATGGGTGTCATTCTCATGGTTTTCGCGGGTGTTGAAGCCGATAGTGCTGTCGAAATGTAAATCTAAGGTGGCGGCTGCAATAGATATCAATTTTTTCATCTTGGGTGTCATTTTCATGGTGTTCGAGGGTGTGGAAGCCGATAGTGTTGTCGAAATGTAAATCTAAGATGGCGGCTGCAATAGGTATCAATTTTTTCATCATGGGTGTCATTTTCATGGGTTTCGAGGGTGTTGAAGCCGATAGTGCTGTCGAAATGTGAATCCAATATGGCGGCTGCAATAGATATCAATTTTTTCATCTTGGGTGTCATTTTCATGGTTTTCGAGGGTGTGGAAGCCGATAGTGCTGTCGAAATGTAAGTCCAAGATGGCGGCTGCAATAGGTATCAATTTTTTCATCATGGGTGTAATTTTCATGGTTTTCGAGAGAGTTGAAGTCAATAGGGTTGTCGAAATGTAAATCCAAGATCGCGGCTGCAATGGGTATCAATTGTTTCATCATGGGTGTCATTCTCATGGTTTTCGCGGGTGTTGAAGCCGATAGTGCTGTCGAAATGTAAATCTAAGGTGGCGGCTGCAATAGATATCAATTTTTTCATCTTGGGTGTCATTTTCATGGTGTTCGAGGGTGTGGAAGCCGATAGTGTTGTCGAAATGTAAATCTAAGATGGCGGCTGCAATAGGTATCAATTTTTTCATCATGGGTGTCATTTTCATGGTTTTCGAGGGTGCGGATGCCGATAGTGCTGTCGAAATGTAAATCCAAGGTGGCGGCTGCAATAGATATCAAGTTTTTCATCTTGGGTGTCATTTTCATGGTTTTCGAGAGCGTGGAAGCCGATAGTGCTGTTGAAATGTAAATCCAAGATGGCGGCTGAAGTAGGTACCAATTTTTTCATCTTGGGTGTCATTTTCATAGTTTTCGAGGGTGTTGAAGCCGATAGTGCTGTCGAAATGTAAATCAAAGATGGCGGATACAATAGGTATCAATTTTTTCATCATGGGTGTCATTTTCATGGTTTTCGAGGGTGTTGAAGCCGATAGTGCTGTCGAAATGTATTTAAACTACTTTAAAAATTCCGTATAATCATGTTATACGTATTTTTTTTAATGCGCTTAAGTTATGCCCAATTGGATTTAGCAATATATTTAAACAATAATACAGGAGCAGCAAACCGCCGCCGGTCAAGTTCCCGCCAAAACTCCACTAAAATAAGCGTGGAAATTGTCGACAAATTACAATTCAAGCAATAAAGTCTAAAATAGTGTGCACGCCACTAATTTTCAGCTAACAACTGCTTATTAAAGAACATCCGCGCAGGAGAGTAGAATATGAATGCAGAAAAAAATAAGTGACCACCATGTAAAAAATCTATTATTAAATGTTCCCGGTATTGGTAACGTAAGGGAGCCACACTATAAATGAGACCTCTGACCAACAGTAGACTATTTTCGGGCTAATATTCATGAAGAAAACATACAGTATTTTCTTCTATCTAGCAATAGGAAATAGCTTTGAAAACAATCAACATATTATGTAGTTCCTTACTACGCCAACCAGCGCTTGTGGCAAGTAACTTCACAATTGAATAAGGGATTTGTTGCCTAACGATTTATTAAACTAGATTTAGAATATCCCACAAAATGTTCGGATGCATAGTTTGAACTCACCGTCTAAATTTACTTTATTTGCGTGTATGTTTAAACAGTGGTCTTCTTGTGTGACGTTACTAATATATGTGGTATACTGTATGTTGTCCGTCTCACTGTAGCAGTACTGTGGAATGTGCCAGTGCTCACAAACCGTTTGCCACATTTTCGGTGAACTCATATCGCAACTCATCTATAAAAAAGTGAAAAAGTTTGAAATACCTACTGCGTCCATTTGTAGCAATTTACATAGTTTTCTTTTTCATCCAATTTGAACAAACTGTAGCCCATAGCATATGCATTTATACTCGGTTAACAATTAAAATGCAGATGCGTTGTTACCCCTGAGGACTAAGATGGAATACTTCGTTTCCAGTAAAAAGGGTCTTCGATTCTCTACACTCCCCATACGAAACATAACATCATTAAGGTGCTATTTTACGCCGGTATTCTGTGAGATCGTGGCTCTACCCCGGTCGAGACGACCTATTCATAATACAGCCATAATATAGCTGCAGCGTGGCTGTATCACGTTCAAAAAATAACTAAATCGTAGATGCAGTGTAACTCGAAAGAGGACTTTCATGGAATGCATCGTTACCAGTAAAACGATCTCTCATCAGTAATTACACCAAAGCATAGTACCAATATGCTGGTGGGAGCATGGTAGTGTGAGCTGCAATATATTTAGGCAAGGAGTTCTCTGGACATTTAGCCATTTATGTCATAGAAATATGATTTTGGGCGATATTATCGAATGTTAAACTAAATACTTGTTAAGAAGAATTTTGTTAATACGCAATTAAAACCCATGAAATTGGACAGGTCTTTCGTGGCCAAGAATGCTGGAAAGTTGTTTAGAATTATATGAAATATATCGTATACACTTAATATATAAAATACAAATGCATTCATTTAAGTACCTATATAAGACTAATGAAATTACATTCACTAATGAACTGTCGTTAGAAAAATGTTTCAATGTCACTTGTCATCGGATGAGATTGTAGTTCAAGCACTGGTTTAAAAAAAAACATGCTGAGTGTCGTGGAACACTCGGTTGGAACGAAGTTCCTTTCGTAGTATATTATTATTGATAAAAGTATTATATTATTGATTAAAAATACAATTAAATGAATTACTAGCGTCTATTAAAATGAAGCGTCATTTAAAATAAAATAATATTTCTTTCATGGCTTTCTTATTTCCCGCCAAGGCCGTCTAACCTACGTCAGAAGGGGTCGTGACGGAAAGCTCTTTTTTTTAAAGGATAGGGTGACAAACAAGCACACAGATCACCTGATGGTAAGTGGTTGCTGTGACCCATAGACACCCACATCTATCCTCAATAAATAATCAAAATGCAGATGCGTTGTCACTCGTGAGGACAAAGATGCAATGCCTCTTTTCCGGTAAAAAGGGTCTCCGGTTCTCTACACTCACCATACGAAACACAGCAGCATTAAGCTGCTATTATACGCTGGTATTCTGTGAGAGCGTGGTCCCCGGTCGAGCCGACCCATTCGTGCTACAACTCTACTACTAATATAGGTGCAGCATGGCTCTACCACGTAAGAAATCTTACACTTTTTCTCGACTAGCCCCCATTCGCCAAATTTGTACCGTCCGATAAGGAACTTAGTTCCAGTAGGTTAAAAAAGATGTCATTTCGGATGATTATAAACTACATCATCTCACTATTTCCATTCAGCATTTAGAATGTACTATATAGCTTACATAGATTTATTTTTAATATGACTCGCTTTACTTTTCATATCGTAACTAATTTAGTAACATGCATTGAGTGAAATCAACACTTACGTTACATCGGGAAGTGCCAGTCTGATTTTCCAGATTTGTTTTCGTACACTGATTAACTGAATGCTCATCCCGGTAGCAGCTACGCAAAAACGATACGCCGTCACCGCACTCCAGTTGCACCGCGGAATTAGAACCATTTTCTCCCGGTATTACATAAATAGCGGAGAAACTAACTATTGTCACAACTTGAAATAGGATGAAAATAGATTTTTGTATTTTGAATCTGTAATAAAGTTTCTCAATTTACCCGAGATATCTATTTTATTTAACTCACATTTGCAATACAGCTTTTTTTTCAATGCTCCAATTATCCTACCAATATCACTCCAATGAGTGTTGACTTGTTCTTTCAATCAGTTTCCATTTAAAAGTATAGGAGTGACCTATATCGCCCTGATAAAATATGTATCGACCATTCAACCAACCGCAATTTTAGTAATTTTATAATCACAACGAGCGTCCAACAATGTTGGACACTCGTTGTGATTATAAATGTTTTAATATTGATTTTATTTATGACTGTAAGACATCGATCATTAATAAAAAACTACATACACAATCCTATGCAAGTCCTCTAAAATCTATTTTCGATTGTTTTGTCGTAATTTTAGTTGAAATAAATATACATTAATGTAAATTCAAGCTTAAATGCATTTCCTAAAGTAGTACTCATAAAGAGCTACGTACAAATTAAAAGCGCACCCAAACGTTCGAGTAAGCGCTCATTCGGTAAGGACATTTTTTGTCACTGATTGTTTATCTAGTTTTTTAATGGTGATCAATGCTATAAGACTCCTTTTTAGGAGTCCGCGTGGTTAAGTACCACCCTCTGTACTGTCTGTACCTGCCTCTGCCATCAAATAGCAGTGATTTTATTGGTGTATTCCGGTAGGAAGGGAATAGAGCCAGTATAAGTACAGGCGGTGAGACATTTCACCTTAATCCTCAGAAGTGACAAATCATTTGTAGCTTTCTTTTTTGAAGCTGGTTGCAGGTGTCCACGGACTTCAGTAGGCACTTACCATCAGGTGTATTGTAAATTTGTCACTTCCTTTAAAAAAAAATTAACCAGCAGTCTAATTAAAAGTATATTTCTCCGCCCAAGCTCCGGCTGAGTAGGACCTATTAATGTGACTTTATTTATATTTAAGATAAAATAATCAGACTATTCATTTTATCATGTTTTTGTTCCTTCAAAAAAAAATCTCGACGTTTTTCGTATAAAATGTAAGCTAGACCACTCTTGGCATTGTTTTCTCTCTGTTCGTGAAGTTTTATTACAATCGGTTCAGCCGCAACCATTCCAAAGATTAGCCCGGATAGACAGACAGACAAAAATATTAAAAATTGTTATTTATTTCTTAATGGCATACAAATAACCTTCAACTCAATATCAGGCAGTTATTTCAATATTAAGACAGACACTTCAAATTTTTTATTCATTCATTGGACATAAGGCATAATATGTTCATTTATTTCGGACACACAACATGCATGCATAGCTATTAACATCGGGTTAATAACATAACAGCATGATATCATCGTTATATTGCTTTTCAGACAGCGATGCTTAACGACTTGTGATTTTTTTGCGTGAGTTGAACTGGTTGGCTGCATACCGATACTTTATTTTGACCTTGGTCGATGTTTGTAAGTAATTTATTAATCAAGCGACTGTTTTGGAAACCATAATATAAGCGTTTGCATTCCAATATGATAACTTAGTAATAATATATATCACATAGAACTAGATCAGATCAAAAGAATATTCATGACAGGTTTACTATCTAAAACAGTTTACTGCTAGATATTGGCTTCACCTTAACTAATCGCTGACTGGCGGATTGCCTGTTATCTACTGAAGGCAATATGGTCCTCTTGGGTAATTGTAATGGAAAATAACCATAGGTGTTTTTATCGACATCCAGGGGACAAGACCGTGGGCAATCTTATAGATGTATAAGTAATTTTAAGTGAAAACTGCAACATGGAAGCTACAGTCTAATAAAATTTAATGGGACTAGGCAAACGAATAACAAAGGCAAGCTCTTGAAGTGGTGGACGCTAGAAGTGCCGAACATGCTAAGTCCCCGGTGGAGAGTTATGCGGGACTTGTTGCATAGGTTCATGTGCAACGAGTAGGAAAATAATAAGCGTTTAAGCTCCACCAGTTGTTCAAGCAGCATAAACTAGTCATGGTTCTTCATCGTTTGGTATTTTACTATGGGAAAATGTGACCGACACTGAAAATATATTATTTACTAGCTCGCCAGGCATACGTTGTTCTGCCCTTCCCAACGACCCTTCCTATAAAGATCCTTAAATTCGCAATAAATAATTTTGAGCGTCATTTATCGGGATAAGAACTATCCGATCTATCAAGTTGGACCAAAATGCACACAGTGTGCAAAAGAACACTGGTCAAATATGACCTGACTATCATATGAAACGACCACCAATGATTGATATGTCAAAAAATAGTGACCTAAGTGTATATTAAATTACAGGGTCCCGCTTACTTTATTGAAGCCGGTAAAATAATTTAGCTTTGTAATAAAAACCTCATTTCCTCACATTTTATAGGTTTTGAACGCATCTAAACCCGTCCCGTTTTTATCTGTGGTACACGTTTCATCATAACACTAAAGTAACACTATCATTATGTGTTTACTTTTTTTAAATACTAGATTTTATTGTAGATTTTTTATTTATTTTTGTAGTGTATATTATCAACAACATCATTTTTAGATGTCTTTTGTCTTTTAAGCTTTCTTCAAAATACTAGAAACTTAGCATGTGACGCATCAACATATTGTAAATAATTTTATAAAATAAGCCACTTCCAGTTAGACTGTACAGGCTGAGATACCTTAGCCAGTAGTAATAAAAAACTCAAAATGTCAAAAGTGTCTTAGATACGTATAACAGTAAAAAGATTAGAAAGGCTTTTGATTCATTTTTGTGGTTTTAGCCAGTATATTTTTTTTTTATAGGATAGGGTGACAAACGAGCACACAGTCCACCTGATGGTAAGTGGTAGCTGTGGCCCATAGACATCAAATGCAGATGCGTTGTCACTAGTTGAGGAATAAGGTGGAATGCCTCTTTTCCAGTAAAAAGGGCCTCCGGCTACCTGCACTCACCGAGCGAAACGCAGAGGTAAACCTCTACTTCACGTTGGTATTTGTGAGGTCGTGGTACCACCCCGGTTTGAGCCGGCCCATCCGTGCGACAGCGACAGCAAAAGCTGTCTCGTGGCTCTATATTTCTGCATAGTTTTCATATCAATGGTTTTAGCTGAGGTTGTAGTCATAGCTGCAGACTTATTACACCATAACCTCAAAAGTGAGGAAATATATAAGGGTAACGTTCTATGATCCTCGGCTTTTAAATGATATATTTTCAATTTTGGATTTAGATTGTGCCCAGGGGGAACGAATTAATCCATACTCTAGTCATTTTCGCGATATTTTATAGCCAGGTCATATCATGTATGGGCCGTGACCGATGTTCTTTCATTGAAATCAGTTCAGTAGTTTAAGAGTCCATCGCTGACAAATAACGTGACACGTAATTTTTATATATAAGTAAAGATATATTGCAGAGGAGGACCATAACGGCAATCTATGATTTAAAACAAAAAGAGTATATAAGACAAAAATTAAATGAAATTAATGTATTAACTTTGGCCTCTCAATAACATTATGAAAATGTAATGTATGTAGACAAAAATATAAGACGGTATAAAAAATATAATATAATACATTCTGTAAATACGTGGAACAGACAAGAGCTGCAACCAATCACCGTCGGCCGCCATATTCGAAATTATTAATTATTAAAAAAAGTTACTCCCACACTACAAATTTATCCTGTGTCGTAAAAGTATTTTACAAAGTAAGTACATAAATTGCACAAGTACTAGCACCCAGATCGTTAACCCGCAGATCACAGCAGCGCGGTACATAGCCAAATGTTCTCACTGTGCTATCAAGGCGCCATTATTTTTTATAATAAATATTTGACTGCTTCGTTGGCCCAGTGGTCTATAGGCAACAGCTGATGAAAAGGTCCTGGGTTCGAATACCCGGTCGAACCAATACAGTTATTAGGTTTTTCTATCATAAAAATTCTAATAATCAGTTAGAAAGTTGGCAGTGTTCCATCCCCACGCCTTGAAAACGAAAAGCACGTTTTGGCGTTTGTCCTGCAAGTTTAGAGAGATCAGGCGCAAGTTTTGTTCCCATCGGACTTGGAATGTCAGGAAATAGAGAGCGTAACTGTGTTTGTGCGCACACACGTGTACTGTAAGCCTGTCCTGCGCAGTAGGTTATTCGCCGTTGAGGCTGGTACTTTCGCAACAGAAATTCGGTTTAGGAGATATTAATTAAACAAAAACACATTAAACAAAATAAAGCGTGTCAAAAATTAAAAATGTAATTGAGAAATAACATCTCTTAACGCGGCAAATTAGAATATAATTTCCAAAATAAACAATGTAGTTAACTGCATGATATTCATACCTGTCAGCTATAATACCAAAAAGTGGTTTTGCTATTAGTCCAAATATTGGCAAAATTGTGTAAATCAGTCCAACAGTAGCCGAGGAGAATCCCAGTTGTCGTGCATAAGTTGATAAATATGGAACTAGAGGGGCGGTACCTGAAACAATTTTTTGAACTTGAAGTTTAGAAAATTTACTTGCCCTGCCTGATGTAATAATACAAATAATGATATCCTGCCAAATTTTAACCATAGCTAATATATAACTTTAGTATTCATCAATGGTAGAAGGTATTCTGGGGCATGGTATTCTCATGCGGTTAGAATATATTAAAAATTAAGTGAATATAGAATTCGATAAAACTAAACAAGACACAATAAAACTAAACAACATAAGAGTCCATGACTGGAATAACCAAAGAACAACATGGCTCCAGCTTTTGATTTTGAAATCAACCCATTAGCATTAGCAGAAACAGCCACCAGAATTACATCAGAATAATTTCAGTTGGCAAACAGATCCCACGTGTCAGTCACCTTGTGAGTGAGGTTCAGATATAACTTTGTCTTATTTATTATTTTGGGCATATTTCGATTTTAATCCCATCTGGGGTTACCTAGAAAAATACATTTTTACGTTAGAATAAACAAGGCGGAAAAGTTTTATGGTGTGAAGAAATTGAAACAAATCCTAATTTTCCTCAAATTGATGTGACTTTCCGCGTACTTATTTATTCCTTCATGATAGCATAGCATGAGATTATCTACAAAAAACTTTACCCGCATTTAATTTGTACATTTCCTTTGTATAAATTTGAGCAGAGAATATTTTTAATTTAATTAACTTTTGTCTCAAGCTTTGTTGGATGAGGTATATGAAAATATATTTCAACCTAGAAGAACATTTGGTATTGTTTGTAATTGCAAAATCTCAGGTTTCGAAATAATTAAATTCTTTACATATCTACTAGTCACATTGTGACAACTTTATTTTGTAAAATACACACATCAATTAGGTAAGTATGCACATTTTAGTGACCATTGAACAAAACAGCTATGATATTTTTCATATTAAAATAAAAAAGGTTGCATTGTTTAATATTTAAGTCATCCTCCTCTTGCATTCGATTTTGAGTAACTTTTATGTCATGTACAATTGCAGACGGGTTTTGGTAATTTCAGGTAGCTTGTTTTCGAAAATTAATTTCATCATCAAATCAATATTACATATTATCAATGATGTTATAATCTTAAAAAAAAATTACACCAGCATCCCTAATAGAGTGGCATTTAATGTATTACTTGTTTGACATCTTGGTAATGCTAACGAATAACAAAATATATTACATTGGTTATCATGACAAAGATGATATCAGCATATTTAGATACATTATCTGGTACCTTATATGTATATGAAACTGATAGACAATACCTGATAAAGTTAATACTGAGTCTTATGTTTTCACTATATTCTCCCCGTATTGGTATGATGAACTTACTTCTCTGCTTGATGTATGTCATATTCATGGTGCAAAAATCAATGCATAAATAGATTCAGGATATGCCTATGTAGTTAAGAAGTTAGAAGCTACAAAATGAATCCTGGATAACTTATAATACTTCCAGATAAGTATTTCTAAATTTGATTATTTGCTGTTTCATATAACTATTATATTATATTAAAAACACAGATACACAATGGTGTATTTAGTGTTTGAGTTTTGGATTTGCTAAAAAGGAATAAAAGTTTTCAATGTGTAATTTTAGTATTTTTTAAATATTAAAGTTTAAAAAAACTTACAGTTTTAACTAAATTACTGAGTAATCGGATAAAAATTTATTATTATTGACTACAAATTACATTTTCTTACTGTAAATTTATGATTTTATATGCATACTAGCTGACCTTGTAACTTCGCCACATGGAATTTATTACAACAGGATTTCATGGGTTTTTTTTTCATGCGGAGCCATAATTATTTTTCTAAAATAAAAGTAGCCTGAGTTACTCCTTATAACATTAGCTATCACTACCGGTGAAAGTCCCGTCAAAATCGGTCCAGCCGGTTTGAAGATTAGCCGGAACAACAAACAGACAAAAATTTTATAAACAGTCTTTTTGTTATTAGTACCATATATACTTTCATATGCATTTAGTAAAATGCTGTTATTTTGACATTACAAACAGACACTTTAATTTTATTTATATGTACAGGCAAGCTGTAACACCCTATTTCACCCCCTCTAGGAATGAATTTTCCAAAAACTTTCTTAGTGGGAGTCTACGCCAAGAAAGGAATATAAATACTAAATTTCAAGTCAATCGGGTGTATAGTTTTGGAGATCTTGTGATGAGTGAATCAGTGGTATTTTGCTTATTTATATAGACAGGAGACCAGACGGTATGACATTGGTCCCTTGGGAGAGAGGTAAAGCCCTAGTGTGGCATGCTACTTGCGTAGACACTCTGGCGGCCTCTCATCTCAGGGGTACCTCATTTAGAGCCGGGGCGGCATCAGAGGCAGCTGAACTGAGTAAGTGGCGCAAATATGAGTCTCTTGAGAGATGACTACATATTTGTGCCATTTGCTGTAGAGACTATCGGTCCGTGGGGTCCATGTGCGGTGAAGTTCCTAAAGGAACTCCATCCGCGGCTGGTCGTTGCTGCTGGTGATAAGAGGGCTGGTTCTTTTCTCGCTCAAAGGCTAAGTATAGCCATTCAGCGGGGAAACGCAGCCAGCGTTCTTGACATGATATCGCGGGGAATAGGACTATATGATAATTAAGTTTCTAGTTTTAGTTTTTTTTTATTATTGTAGCCAAAAAACGCTACAGGATGGCTCTACTCATCATCAACATCAAAATATTTATAAATTTGACACAACCTTACAATAACTGTCCTTGATATACCTACTTGTCCCTTCAGAATTCCCAAAACTATTTTTATCAGTTGCATCACATCAAGTCAACTTTTTGCTAGGTGGTAGAACTGTTTTTGTGCCTAAAAGCCTGTATGGGTTAGTACCACCGTCTTCCCTATCACTGCCACCAAATAGCAGTGCCTGTACTGCTGTGTTCTCGTGTGAAGGATATAGAGTTCCAGTATAATGATAAGCTTTGAGGCATTCAATCTTATTCAACAACACATTGGTAGCATTCTTAACCAAGCCACTTACCATCAGAAGGACTGTTAAGTTTGTTTGTCACTTCAACAACTACACAAAATACAACTATGTTTAACAATAAATATAAATGAGAATTGACTTGTAACACTAGAGTGCAATTCAAGCAGAAATTAGCAAAAAACAGTCTAAATGTTAACTTTTTTATACTGATTACTTACTACAAACCTAAAGACAGCTTATCCAACAATATTGCATGCAAGAAAAACAACAGAAATACTAATCAATTGTAAAAAAATTCAGTAAAAGTTGGTATTTTTTACTTAAAAAAAAGTTGGATTACTTACCAGCATTAAAAAGAAAATAATGACCCTTAATAGGCAATAACTTTTTATTTATCTTCATACTTGGCAGTATTTCTTAACCTATAACAAATAAGGTTTTTTTTTTAAATTACAATTTTATATTATAACTAGCTGGCCAGACAGATGTTGTTCTGCCCTTTTCGACAACCCTTCATATAAAAAAATCATTACATTCGTAATAAAAAAAAATTGAGTGTCACTTATTAGGATAAAAACTATCATATCTCTCAAGTTGGACCAAACTGCAGTGTGCAAAATTTCATTGAAATCAGTTCAGCAGTTTAGGAGTTCATCGCGGACAAACAATGTGACACGTAATTTTTATATATAAAGATATTAAATGAAATACATAATAATATTATTCATATGTTAATATTTTATATGCAAGCATAAGATAATGCCAGCATTACTAGTTGATTATAGTTTTACTTAGATGTCATAATACATTAAATAATATTACCCAATATACATTCGCCTCGCACAAACAACCAATAAGCAAAAAAATTAGCTCGTGTTTACAAATCCGTCTACACTGCCTTACGTTATTTGATAATAAATAATTTTTATAATAAAAGTCCATGTCTTTCAAAGCATATTAAGATTTACCTACCTTTAATAAAAGGAGAGTAATAAAATATATAATTGAAAAGTAAATAAAGAATCACTTAAGCATTCTCTTATCGACTAAACCTGTTGGAAAACTATATGAAAATAAAAATACCTGCTAGATCAATTTTTTGATTTACATGTAAAACGCATAATTTGTGTAGGTTTTAGTAAACTTTAAACGAACTATTAATCGGAAGGTAAAGATAAATGACTTGATAAATTACAAAGCAAGATAACGATTATCTATGATAATTTAGATTTCAATAAAAGTGACCCCGTCCCCGTTGTAACTTTGTAGCATGCATTAGTTAAAAACGTTGCCAAATAAATGCGCTAAAATCCCATACGGCCTCTAGCAGTGCTAGACTAGCACCACAGACTAATATGATACGACTAATTAGTAGAATAGATTGTACCCAGTGTGACCATCTTTAAAATACAGATCCTGCCACACTTCGGTAAAAAACCTGCCAAATCCTGCCAAAATCTGTAATGAAAAATGCCTAAATACTGCCAACTTTATTTAACATTGTATTAAACTAATAAAAGTCAAAATAAACATATAAATGCTGTATTTTTTAAATTAAAATTAAACATATCTTTCGTTGGTTCGAATGCAATGCAATCGCCATGCTTGTTTAACGTACAAGATATACGCTACATGTTAGTTTATAAATCTGTTTCGTGTTTTTGTCTTAATTAAATTTATTTTTGAGAATATTCTTTCGCATGAATCCACTCATATTTTGTTGATGTTTACTAGCCAATTTGCAGTTACACAGTCTGGATCATCTTTAGCTTTTGAGATCCATGATGGAAATAAAAGATCTTGCTTCCACTTCGCTCTAAACGCCCTGTCTTATTTTCGCTTCATCACCGCCACCTATGGTAATAATTAAATCTAATTCTATACCAAACTAAAGTACGTCTCTTTTATGACTGATTGAAATATTAACCAACTCGTGTTAAGATTATCAACTTTATACACAAATTTTTTTAAAGTTGTTTATTGAATGTGATACAAGCATAATACGAGAAACTGAGAAATACAGGGAAATCCCCAACATGCTGGCGAAGTATCTAGGGGTTACCATTTTCATCATTTTAAGTTGCCATGATGAAATATATTTTTAATACCCCAATAATGCCAAATACTGCCAGGTTTTATAAAACGTCAACCGATCATGCCACAGGCTAAAATAAGAGGCCAATCCTGCCAAAATGGCAGGAACCTGCCACATATGGTCACACTGATTGTACCCGAATCAGATTAGGGATGTTCGATAATCATTGATGTTCGATGATCATCGATGATAAAAATAAAAACATCGATGTTTTAACATAGATGTTGCCACATGTCAAACATCGAAACATCGATGCCAATGAACCCATAATCGATTATTAGGAACTTCCGAACAATGCGAACCCGCAAAATCAATATCAACTAAATCTTATATCTCCTCTGAAGATTTAAAATTTTGAATAATTCAGAATTCCTGAACGCATCGCTTTCCTAAAAAAATATCATTATGGTGTGTCAAAATTAATTTTCAAGTGTCATTTAACATTTAATGTCACAGTGGTACTGCTTTCGCTTTATTTTGTAGTGTCCATAGAGGAATATAACCACTAGAGAGCGTATAGGCCGATTTCTTCTAAGCACAAGACTCACTACTGCGGGCCGGGGGACGATGAAGAATGCGCGGCCGCAATTGGTCAATTCAAGGTATGGCTATCGTTAGGGTTGCTCTACTTCATTAAGGGAAAATAGTGGATATCGATAAAATGGATACATTATGAAAAATACTAAATGTAATTGTAATTGTGTAAATGTAATGTATTTGTTAATTAAAATCATAGAAATAATATTTAATCAAAATCAATCAATTACAAGAAAAACATGTATCCCGTTATTATTGATTTTTAAAATGTATTAATTTGGAATATGTTTTTCGAATTAAAGTTTTAGGGTCCTGATTGTTCTTCGTAAAAAATGATAAGCGCGCGTCTACACATTTCTAAATTATGCATCTTGCTAATTCAATTAAATGATTTGTGGATTCAATTTCAAATTGATGAAAATTAATATCCGGGAATAAATTATACCCAATCAGAGATTTTAAAACCGATCTTATAAAATAATCGGTATTATATTTCGAAGACAGCACTTTCGAACCACTCTCGTTTATCGCCCTCTTAATATAAATTTCACAACGACGACAAACTTCTATTACTGTGGTGGATCCGTACAATAACTTGTCTTTAGTGTCCTTTTGAAATTGTAAGGCGTTTTGATTTGGTACACCAATCAGCGCCCCAATGCAAGTTTGGCATTTTATTTGCTTTATCAAAGCATGTACAATGTAGCCGGCCATATATTCTACTACTTTTTCACCGAATTCAGAATTAATTTTTTTTAATTCAGAAATATAATATTGCCCCGTTCGTCCTTCAAATTCCTATAAAACTCAAATGCATTTCGCACTAACTTGATCATGTGTGCCGGATCTAAAAAGACCGCTATTTTTGAAGTCTTGCAGGGGTTTTTAAAGGTGGTGTTTATTTGATCAACTTCAAACGAACAGCCTAACTTTTTAGCCATAGTAATATTAGCAGGGCAGCCGTCAAACGTAATGGCTTTGACATTTACACCAGCCTCTTCTATCAAATGGATCGCCTCTGTTAGAAGAGCGGCTTTTTGTTCTGCATTAATGCCATTTATTAAAAAATATCCTATTGGAATTTTCCAGGATGCATTTATTGGCACTAGCAAGAAAACAAGGGCTTCTTTAGCTTCATCTTGACAGTCCGTTTGTAAACTAGCGCCAAAACTCACGTGGCCATAGTACCTTCTGGCTTGGGGATGATATTCGACACCGCTTTTGATCGCCATTTCGACGAATATGATAGTGGCGTAAATTTTGTTCTTAGATTCTCTGGCTTTCATTTTGATAGTATCTATTGCCTCCTTTGTAAATCCTGGTTTACCATCAATGGATTGATACCAACTTCTCAGAGTACTTGTAGCAGGTAAACATGTGCTAAAAGTTTGTCTAACGAAATTATACGCTTTTGGGGAATAAAAATGCAATGTTAAAGAGAATGCTCGTAACTCCGGTGAGTATTTGATTTTGGGTATATGTCCTTTTTTTGATTTCAATATTTGGCGTTTAACAATTTCTTGGTTTTGTACACCTATGCGACTTAAAATGTCTTGATTTTCTTGAGTGATATAAGATTTTTTTGTCAAAGTATTCAAAATTTCTTTTAGATTTGCATTTTTTTTAACCAATAATCTATTTTTATCTTGAAGCCTCTTAACCTCTTTCTTTTTTTTACTAAGGGAATATATAAGATGGTCTATGTGTCGTTTCATTTTGCGTTTACGTGGAGTCAGGTCTTCAATTACTGGGTGTACTATTTCTTTGTTACTTATTGTTGAACTCTGAAAAATAATAATATATAAATATAATAAATAAGAAAAGAAGAGGTAATAAGAAATATTAATATTGAATTTTGTAGAAATATTATTTGAGAAGAATATAAAAATGAAGCTTACGGGAATTTCATAATCATGGGAAGGCCTGAAAATGTTACTATCATCAAATGGAAAACAATGCAAAGGAGTCTGGGCTTCAGTTGATGTATGAGCTTCAGAATGCACTTGTTTATTTGATAATGAACTCTGTAATTAAACATGTCGGATATCAATAAACGCAGTCACATAAAATTTATCTCATGGACTTATCATCGAAACTAATTAACTTACGAGGGCGATATTGTGACGCGAAGGCCCAGGTACATTAGTATAAGAGTCAATCATACTATTTGGTGAATCCTGTAAAGAATGAATATTTCTTATATTTACAATTTCACTTTTCCTAACATTATATCAATAAAAACAAAACTTACCAAAATAGGCAAAAACAAAGTTGGTATCGCTGAACTAAATAGACGGCGGCGTTCTTTTAAATATTCAAAACAATCGGGAGTGAAGTGCCTTGAACAAACAGCGCTGTATTTTGTTGGAAACCAATTTTCCCTATTAACCTTATCTATCCACTTTTCTTTTAGTTCTGGAATCTTCGGAAATCTAAAATAAAAACATGTATGTCAAACACACAGACGAAAAAAACCTGTTTACATCACCGTCCTCAAAAATTACATAAAAAATAATTATTGTGCAAAACAACAAATAGAACATTATCAAATTCATAGTGCGTTATCAAATTCACTATCATTTTATGACAGTCTTCCCCGAAATTGTAGCGAATACAAGTGAAATTTGTATTAATTTATTGTTATCTGTGGATTCGTAATAATTGGGTGTGAAATCACCCGACCGCACTGGGACCTATCGGACCCAGCGGGTGTATGAAGCCATAATCATCTTGGACCGATCGGTCCCGGTCGGGGACAAAGTAATACAAAAAAATCTCGGAACATACATAAAAAAATACTGATAAACTGAGAAACTCCTCCTTTTTTGGAGTCGGTTAAAAGTAAATAGGTATTTTATTACACGTTAATTGAATAAAAATTTTATTAATTTTAATTTTCATATTTTCGATATCGACTTTTAGCTATTAAAGGTAACAGCACTAATTTTTACAATAAACATACAAAGGGAAAGAAAGGGATAGAAGCATTAGAATTGTCTAATGAAAGAACGAGACTTTTCCAAAAGACATCAACGCGCGTCTCAACTATGTGCTCGTTTAAATAACCACCATTTTAAATAGACCCCTGCAGTCGCTCATAATCTGATTAAATCAAAAATAATTTTCATACTGTTTACTTACCGATGAAAAGTTATGCCATCTTTTTTGTAACCAGATGTCTTGGAATGTTTCCCACACCACTTCACCGCGCATGAAGGCATTTTGATGCGTTATAATTGCATAAAAAGTTATAAAAATTTATATTAATTTAGCGTGCACACAGGTCTAACACTTGGACACTACTAAAATGGTTACTCGTACCGTAGCCTATACATAGGCGACAAAATACTAATAGTTTTCGAGCGTCGGAGCACTGTATGCGCAGTCAAGTGGTTATATTGTCATTGGTAGTGTCGTTGTCGGTTGTCGCATAATAAATATTCGTAATAATTAATACGCTAAATTGATATTCAAGTTAATTGTTACTTTTCCCTTGATATGTATACCCACATAATTTTGAAACAATATGCAAGTATCTACACAAAGGTATACAAAAAACATCGATTATGGTCAACATCGATGTTTTAAGTAGGCTAAACATCGAACATCGATGTTGAGCTATCGATGCCAACATCGATGTCATCATCGATGTTTCTGCAACATCGAACATCCCTAAATCAGATCAGACCATAGACTAAAGACTTCCTTTATATACTTATTATACTCTTTGGTCGGCCCTGCGCGGAGCGCAAGACCTTCCTTGCTCCCTAGATCGGCCCTGCCGCTGTCGCGTGTGTAGAGCAATTGTATGGAGTGTAGAGTAGAAGGAGAACCATCTTATAAGGTGCGAAAGTTGAAAAAGTGTCCCAATATATACTGAAAATAGAGGTTCCAAAACCTACCACAATAGCGCTGGCGTCTGAAAAACTACGATATGAATATAGCTGTTGTAGATGGAGTGAAGTCAGCTGAATTAAAATATTTAAAAAATTTCATGACTAGAGTAGTTAGTAAAATGCCAGTATACAAAACCTCAACTATTTACGTAGTACAAAACCAAGCGAATTGGTCGGTCCTTGTTTATTTCTCCATCTTATTCTAATAAATTTTGGCGCTTTTAGGGACACTTTTCATATACAGAGATGGTCCTCCTTCTACTCTACACTCCATAAGCAATTGGGGCAATTTCAATTAGTTCGTTGCGACAACGCGTAGTGTTTCTATATAGTTTGTGGTTGCGACTTTCGCGCGGAGCACACGTGTGAGTACAAGTCAGAACCGAAGAAAGAGTAGTAACATTACTGGGATTTCTTACCTAACTTATCATAAGGACTAGTATGAGCAAGAAAATATTCCAATAGTATTAAAATTGCTGGAATATAAATAAAATTTCATTAACTAAATAACTAAACAAAAATACAAATATTAGTAATTAAATTTTTTAAAACTCATCATTAGAAAACTATCCTGGCTATTTGTAACACTAGTTAAATTATAGTTACTAAGCACTAGTTAGTTAAGTTATATCACAGAATAAATTGGTTATATTAAATTATGACGAGTGAAGTTAGTCACATTTAATTGTCTTTGATAGCCAAAAAATAGTGTGGCAGAGCTATGCTGCAGCTTATAAGCACTATATTATGGTTGCAATTATTAATTAATTGATTGTTTTATTGATAGATGTGGGTGTCTATAGGCCACAGTGTCCACTTACCATCAGGTGGACTGTGCTCATTTGTCACCCTTATTCTATATAAAAAAGAACTAAGGCTATATATACTGATTCATTGATATTTCGATAAAACTGGCGCCATTACCAACGCGAGCGTCCAGTACTCTATTAAACTCTAGTAAACTATAGTACATTAAAGACAAATAAATCTTGAGATTATCCTCTTTAAGCCATTATGAACCCGACTAAGTGTCTATTTATCACCCAAAATAAATGTATAACCTTATTTAACCAACCGCACAGCCTCACGGTCATACTAACACAATATTTATAGCATCACGCTATTTTCTCCAAGGGGTTGAGTGGAGCTTCGGAACTTCGGATTATATTCCTGTTGCGCGCCACTATTAATGTCTTGTACATGGCAACACTAGTTACCACTACCGCCCTCTAATATCGAGTAGCAGAACTAGGAGAGTTAAGATCCTTCTAGAAATTTCGGGACCGATATGTACTCGAACATTCTAGATGTTTCTAAAGTGGAAGGTTCTGGAAACTATCTGAGGCCCTATATAAGGCTCATATACTTCGAGCAACAATACCAACTAGATAACGGGTCACGTACAAAATCATAGCTAAATGCTGTCCGCGTGAATATATACTTATACAGCTACATTTGTTTAGTAAACAACTGAGACAATGTTCAACCCAATTACAACCATGGCATCTAGCAATAAAGTCACAAATCTTACGATCATTAGTTACAAAAAAGAACAATTCAATGCATTACTCCTGTCACTTGGAAATGAAAAGATATGGGTTAAACAACATTTAGTGTGAAATCAACCTTAAGGAATAATAAATTAAAGTACTTTTTCCCGTTATTGCCTTGAAAGCTACGTCGTTTTGTTTCGTTTCCGTTTGCTTCTTCGAACTTCAGCTACAAAAGTTATGGAATCGCGGTATAAATAAGTTTAGTTAAAATTATTTATATTTTGCGCATTTATGTTTGTTAGTATACATACTTTCCTCACTAGCCATTAAATGAAATATAGTATGTAGTATAATGATTGCATTTTATTAGATAATTCATTACATATTTATTTTAGTTTTCGTATGTATATATGTTTGTAGTGTGATATGTGTATTCTTTTTTATCACACTAATTTTCCCTACCCGTAATCTTGTCCATTCATTGGTTGTCTCGAAGAAATTGCTGTTAGCAATAAGACCGCCCATTGAAGATTTGGTGTATAATATGATTATTTAATTTATCAGTGTTTTTATGTGTCGTACACAAAAAGTAATAAACTGTAAGTACGCTTTTTCTTTTTCAAATGTATGTAATGTCGGCGGCTGGCAAAGGTGTCTTGATAGCTGGATGTCACAACACACATAAACGGATTGCTAGGAAAGCTAAAATAAAAACAATAAAGCTAAGTATCTATTGAAATTATTATTTTATTTATTATTACTTTTGTATACAAAAGTTGTTTGTGATACAAAAGTAGCAATTACCATTATTTAAAGTTCTGGTAACAAATTACTAAAAATGATTACAATACAAATCTATTCCAGTACTCTACTGTTCTGTTTCACAAATGTTTACGCGTGTATTGGCCAACCTTGGCAAAACATTTGTAGGAGTGCTTTAAAATCGGTAATTTTGTTTCAAATATGATAATAGTTGTTAGTTTAGAGCTTAAAATATAACTTATTCTACACGTACTTACCGAAAGTAAGACTTTCGGTAAGTACGTGTACTTTTATTCTTGCAACTTTTAAATATGCATTGCGGCTTTGTGAAACGTGTTTACATTGGCTGTGTTTCAAGTCAACTAAACGAAATAAGAACTCACGTCTCCAGTGCGCTGTTATTTACTTGGACGTATTTTTTGCGCCGACCCGAAATCTAGTTGGTATTGTTGATCGAAGCCCGTATAGGCCACGACCGAGTCAGTATTGAATTGGCGATACAAGCATATACTTCTAAGCGATACAACTCCGAACTAAAGTGATCTGTAGTACAATTGTATTTTATTATTAGTGTGGTTTTAAATTGTAATTAGTGTTCTGTAATTAAAGTGTCAATTTTGGTAATTCACTCGGCAGTTTTTAATTGTCTCGAACCCCAAGCTCGTAACATTCCCAAGTCACAATGATAAAACTTTTAGCGTAGTTAGGTATAGATATTTAGTAATGATAGTATGATTGTATAAATTCCATATTATTTGATACTCACAACGGTCGATGCCCAATTCATGCTTGATGGCCGACGACATTGTGCCGAGGGCTTAAGTAGCTTGGTTCATTGCCTACAGCGTTAGTCGTAGAGAGAGGAAATCGTGGTTAAGTAATAGCTGCGCAGATCAATAGATCTGCGAGATTAAGTTGCACTTGCCGCGGTCAGTCCATGAATGAGTGATCATTTTCTTAACATACCGAGATTGAGAGAATAGAGAGTGCGTCTGTATCCTCAGACACTTAATCCATTTTACTGTGTTAAGATCATTATGTTTTTAAAATTCATGCAGCTAAAATGATAATAAGTTTATTATTACTTTATACTTTTCAGGGACAGATGAAAGTCTATAAACATGAAGCATGATGAAGCCTCATAAATATAATGGCCTTTAAGCAGATCAATCTAATTTAACTGATTCCTACAAGTTTCCTTCTTAAATTATTAAGTTTACATTTATACTTAAGTCGAATGTTAAAATAAAGTTCTATAATGTATTTAATTTGTCATACTTATATGAAAAGTAAAGCAGCCGTTATGTACTCCGTGTCCCCGTTCTTATTTATCCATCAAAACATTTTATAAAATATATAAAATATAAATAAGTATATACTTAGTTAAGTATCTACCTATTTATATTAACAATATGTTAAAAAAGAAATTCCGGGGAAACTGCCCACGACAGTAAATATTTTTCCCCAAAGATCATAGCCCGAAAATACAACTTTCTGATCGGATTATTGGGGAGTTTTTTAAGTTTATCGGTAAATTCACCTGGGATTTTATACATTTTAATTGAATTCCAACAAAAGGCAGGTAGGTTCAGCTTATTCCCGGGAACATCTTATATGAATACTTTTTAATTATTTTAGAACTATTATGGTAAATTATGTAGAACTATTATGGTGTCTTCTTTCTAAGTGAACCTTATCTACATATTTTATATTTACTTCGTAAAACATGAGTAAAAAAATATTTACTTATTCCTAGTTTTATTATTAACGATATAAAGGCGTCTATTACTTCTGTTCTATGCTATCGGGATATAATATGCTCAAAGCGATATTTATTTAATATTTCATTCTTCATTCTACGACCAATATTTTCAAATGGGTGTGTTTTTCTAGATAGTTATTTGTTTCTTTAAAAACATCACCAAAATATCTAACAATGGCAAATAAAGAAATAAGTTGATCTATGCTGCTGTATAGGTCTACTTTTTCTTGCTATATTTGTATACTCTATGTGTTATCCACATATGAATCTCGGTATTTTCTTTTGTGGTGAGGTCCTGTCTGCATGTG